GCTGTTGTTAAGTGTCTTAGAGTCAAATCCAACTCATAGCACCCTTATATAGCGTTTCCAAAGAGCAGCTGGTGAATTTGAACTGCCAAACTCGTGTTTCAAACCGGCCTTGCAATCCAGTGCTTATCCTACAGCAACACCCCCCTCCCCCAGAGTGATGAAATCTCATCCATTCCCACTGGGTCCCAGAGCTAACTTTCTCCTCCTTGGCTGGGCACCAACGTGGAAAACACAGTTGGGTCAGTTGCTGTGCTCTGCTCTGCCAGTGTTTGTTGGGCTAATGCTGCCCACTGGGGCAGCCTGGGTACCTGTCATATGAAAGCATCAGGGAAAGGCATAGTATATATGTAGGCTTTGGCATTATATATATAGTTTAAGGCATCTACTGGAGGGGTTTTGGAACATATCCCCTGTGGATTATATTCCTTTTACTTTTAAAGTTAATTATTTAAAGAGAGGCAATGTAAAAAAGATAATAATTCAGATCACTAGTTTGGTAAATGTATTTAAACTTTGGCAAAAAGAAAAGAAACCGTTGAAATTCTTACGAACTACTTCTGTCAAGAGAGCTTTTAGACATCGGATTTCTATCAAACCTTGTCTAAAAGTTAACCAAACCAGGACTTCCAAGGTGAGTACCATCGGTACCATTTATGAGATTCACATAAAAAGATGCATGAAAAGTTATTAGTACTATAACTATAATTACTCATTATTGCTCTTCCTATATCTCAACAGAGTCACAGGGGCAGGCAGAGAATATTATCTCCAGAACTGCAATTAAGGCAAATGACAGAGCTGTTTCAATTGTCCTGTTTGTCCTTCTACCTGGAATATGAGTAGTGACTGAATAAAGAAGAAATAATAATAATTTATAATGTGTCAATTATGTTATGCATATTAACTCATTTATCCCACCACACAGTTGTTGTTGTTGTTAGGTGCCATCGAGTCGGTACCGACTCATAGCGACCTGATGCACAGAAAAATGAAACATTGCCTGATCCTGGGCCAACCACACAGTATACACCACTATATTCTTCTAAAGATGAAGAGACAAAAAGTATGTAATTTGCCCAAAGTCACCCAGATAGGAAACACTTTGTTATTGTTGTTTTTAGTGTCATTGAGTCAGTTCTGACTCACAGTGACCTGGTGGGTTTGACCTGCAGACCTTGTGGTTAGTAAGTAGTTCAGTGCTTACTGTGCCACACCAAGATATGCTAGTTTTGAAATTAAAAACTGAGTCTGTTTGTCTGGCTTCAATTTTATTTTCTTTTAGCTATAGAATATACTCTGCACTCTAAATAAAATGAATGTAATCATTGGTACCTATGCATGTGAATAATATATGCAAATTTACTATACCACACTACAAGTTATATGAGTGGAGTGTGTGTACACACACACACACAGAGGTATACCACTCTATTGATAACACCAGGAACTAACTTTCTCTCCTAATTCCTGTATTTCTAACCGTCACTCTTATTTGACATATAGCAAGTTAGAACTTTGAAACTCTATCCTTTAATCAAACCCTGACTTAAGAAACATTTTCTGAAACAGCATCTGTGCTTAGCCTGTGATAAAAGAGAAATGATAAAAGACTGTCAGAGAACAGAGCTATGTTCCCTGAAGGTGGAATTCATACAGAGATGAGAAGAATTAAGGACTAGAAGATGAGATAAGAACCCACCTTTTTTTTTAAAAAAAAAACAACTGTTACAGCATTAATTTAGAAGTGATTTTCCCATTGCTAAGCATACCTAATTTAATCTTTAGTGCAAAGATATAATTTAGTGCAAATATAAGTGCTATTTGAATGTTGTAGACCTCTTTTGTATTAACACAGATAATCAAGAGTTGAGTATAGCTAAATATATTGAAGGGGACACATTCAGTGTACCAGTAGCAATGAAAACACACATGGAGACAAATTCAGAAAAAGGGAAGACCTAAATGAACACATTATGATGGATAAATCAATGATGATAATTTTTACATATACCTAAAATGTGTCATTTTTATGTGGATTTTCAAAAGAGCTCATGAGTAATAAAATACATACCCTCCGATTTTACCTATAGTAAAACCAGATTATAATATAATTTAAGTGATATAATGCCTAGGTATGTCAAAGAATGATATACTAAAGATAGATAAAACCAAACAGCATTCAAAAGTTAATTCAATATTAAAGGACAACCGTTTCCTGCAGAGTGAAAACACAGAAAGAAGACTTGCAAAAACTTAAATAAAATGACTAATAAACCTATTGATAATATTACTAAAACAGTATGACACATTTTAATGGTTAGTTTGATAAGTGTGGTTTCTTGGCCATGGAGAATTAAAGGAGAAAAAGAAGGTCAGTAAACACAGCACACATGCTCTAGAAGCTAAATGTGTTTTAAGGAAGACCCAAAATTCTGCAACTTAATGGGGGACTATTATAATTGCAATAAGTACTCAGCTAATTCTATCAATAACTTGACAATTCCAGCATGAGTATCTAGAGCTAAATTCTGAAACAACAGTCCAGGGCCCTAATAGCACTAAACCATTCCATTTTAAATTGCATTTAGTTTTATGCCCCATTAATTGACCATTTATATCAATTTTTAACATTACACTTAAATTCATTGTAGATTCATGTGCAGATTTGCTAGCATTGCAGTAGTTCCCTTTTCTACAATGAATTATTACTCCTTAAAATGGAAAAGTTTCCTAATTAGGATTCAACTGAGAAATTCTAGAGGGCAAATGGATAGGCAAGAAAAGACTTTTATAATGTTAGGCAAAGTGAGAACACTTCATGTGTGGAAATAAAAAACAAACTAGGGAAAGGAGAAGGGGTTCAAGAGAAAAAGATTATTTCATATACTGCTTATATTTTCCAAGCTGATATACCTTTGTCAAAATGCAGAAAATTCCTTCAAAATGTTAATGCAAAATGTTGAAAACATTTTCAGCAAACTATTAGAAATTGTCTGAATGGATATTGACAGTGGATCACACCCTCTACATTTCATTTAATAATAAAAAATAATAGTAATAATAATAATAATAAAACAGTGAGAAATTTAGGGGTATGCCATTGTCTCAAGAAGGATAATTGCTGGACTATCAACTACAAGGCTGGCAGTTGAAACCTACTAGCTGACTCCTCAGGAGAAAGTTGAGGCTATCTGCTCCCATAAAGATCTATAGCCTTGGAAAACCTATTTAGGGTCGCTGAGTTGAAATTGACTTGATGGGCAATGGGCTTTGGAATTGGAGGGTGCTTCAAAGAGTTTGTGGAAAAATTCTATTATCTATTAATTCCATTTTCCACTAATTTTTTAAGCACCCTCATGAGTGCATTTGTAACATTAAATTATTTTAAACTGCTTTCAGCACCTAAACAGATTTGGTTACCAAATTACCACTGACAAAGACGCCACTTGTTTTGTTTTGTTATTCATATACATACAGTTGAATGTATACCAAATTCCTACCTTACAAAGTTCTATCAAATTCAAGGAGCTATTTCATGAAAATGAATTATCATCAGTATACACCATTAGTGATATTAGTACATCAGTGTAAGTTTTTTTGTTTTTTAGGGTCCCAAAATGCAACCCTGGCTTAGAAGACAGGCGAAATGAGTATGTTCAGTAATATTAGTCTATACAAAATAATCTCAGGAAGCTAGGTCACCATCATTAGTCATGAGAAGAATGTCTTCTAGAAAGTGTCAGTCAAAAGAAAGTTTATGTGGCAGAATCATGTAAGGAAACTTACAATAGTGCCTGCCCACAAACCATGCAATTTAGAAACAGCCAAGAAACAAAACCATAGAGAAGAGAGGAAAATACAACATGTATTAAGGGTTATTATGCAGCTACAAAGATTCAATATGACCCTGGCAATACAGCAAAAAATAGTTATGGAAAAGAAGCTATTTCTTATGCTCAGTAGCTAATTTTCAAACATATGTACCTGTATTTGAAACTTTGAGCATTTCACACATTTTTCTGTATCTGAAAAAAAAATGGATCCAGACTGATATTGTATATCAATATAACTAAAAACAGTTAATATAAAGGTAGCCAAAAGCAAAGTTGAATAAGTATTCTAAAAAAGGATATTATTCTGGTTGCTAATAAAGTATTTGTGATAAAGTACACTTTGTTTATATTAGAAAATAATAATTTACTGTAAATTTTCCTAAAAAGGATGAAATATCTATTGTAAGATGATTTTATAGGTATTTAATTGAA